GAGTTGCAGTGCTTTTTAGTGACAAGTTAGGATGAAATCACGGTGGATTACATCAATAACCTCATTGACAACATACCACGTCGCTTTGTGGAGGTTTTTAGAGTTCGAGGAAGACCAACCAAGTAGTGACTGTTTAATATGAACTGATATAAGGTTACAGACGCTATTTATGATAATTTGATGTTATATTTTGTTATTATATATGTTTTGGTAAGGGTTTGTTGTGATAGGTGAAATGATGAATTACACATCTTTCTAGAGATGTCTGATAAAATTGTTTGCTGTTCTAATAAATTGTTCATGATGTCCATAGGACCTGTATCATTATATAAATTACATATATAGATATTTAGTATAGCATGCATTTCTTTGTTTGACAGCACTAAGTATATTTCTATTCCATCTTAATAATAATGATCTTATTTGTTACAAAATATGCAAACATTTTGGCCAAGACTGTACTTGTGGTATAAAGTTCGTAATTGAAAAAATTCTACTAAAGGTAAAATAACTCATTTTCAGCTCTTAAATAGAATCATGTGCACGAATTTGCCGTTTCGATTGTCCATTAGTAATAAATTAGAAAGAAGGAGTTTTAAAATTTTTACAGGAGATTTCAAAGTTTGGTGGAAAATCAACTTCTACATTAAAAAGTTTTAATAGGAATTTGTAACGCTTATTAAATGTAGCGGCAGAAACGCCACCCTACGGTAAGCTGTTTGTGCTAGTAATTACTTATCATAGTATTCATACCTCTTTGATAAAAATTCAGAAATGTGAAAATTTTCTAAAAAAAAAAAATAAGGATTTTTCTAAGAAGTAAAGCATGGGAAAATGTTCGGCTTGTGCTGATATAATCTGTAATGTTTTCATAAGTTTTTAAGAACTCCATTTTTAGGACAATAATTACAAAATACATCAATATAGATATAATCAAACCCTCACGTACAGTCTTAGTGAAAGTTGTGTTCTTATTGTGAGGAGAGTACTTACTTAAAATTGTGTTCTGTGATAAAGGAATAGCTGATACACATATCTTAGTTATTTTTCTAACTGTCTGAATCTAGAATACCCAAAGTGTGATTTTTTTTTGTTTTTTTTATTTGTTATACTTCTCAATAGATGGCGCTACATTGTCTTTATTATTTCTTTCACACACACACACACATATAACATTTATAGATGGTACGTCCATTATAAAAAAATATATTATTACCTAAAATTCGTTTTATGTCTCTTTCTGCTTTGACAATTATTTAAAATTACTTGCTCTTTAAAGAGTAAAAAAATATTTAATTATCACATACATTAATTTTTATGTTTTTCTTCTGTTCTATTTTTTCAATTTTAGTTCTTATTGCTTCTGTGTAACACTTGAAAATAAGCATTTTGTATGTGTATACACATGACAAGGGAATCAACTTGAGAAAACGAAAGTCGATTGTACATTTTATATTAGAGCGTCTGTTGGAAACAGGTCCGTTTTCGTAAAATCTGGATGTTTGAATATTTAAATATTTAAAACGTAAAAAAAAGTGAAAAAAGAAAATAGCGAATACTTAATTTAAACTTAAAGCTTGAAGAAATTACTTTGTAAAACACGAAGTGTTTTGATGAGAGCAGAGGAGCCGATATATAACGTAACACCTTTGTATTTATCCCTTTTATTCTCTTATACTTGTGATGTTTATCAAACTGTTTATTATTTTCTTAACTTTCTAAATTTTTTTACTAACTTGGTTTCCTTCTATATTTATTTTATTTTTCTAATGAACTATGTTTAGGAATGTGAATAGTTAGCCAAATTAATGAATGTACAAGCTGAAGTCTGTGTTGAAATTTTAAAATAAATCTTTTTTTATCAGTCTTTTATTTGTTTCTCGTCAAGCATAAGGCTACAGGATTGGCTATCTGTGCTTGATTTTTAGTCTCTAGGGGGGAAGGAGGAGGCTCTTATCAGTCTCATTTGCAAAATGACTATAAAAATTACGAACTAATCTCAGTTAACTTTATATTCTATCCTGTAGCAATAGTAATTGAATTTGTTTGTGATATTTTAAGATTTGAAATAATTTTGGGTTATCAGGCTAACTGAAAATGGATTCCCAAAGTTCAAAATTGAATGATTTCATAGAGGGTACAGAGAACGCAACTCCATGAACTGGTATTTTGGCACTAGTTCAAGAGTCACAGGTTTGGTATTCGTCATAGAAATAGAGAAAAAGAAAAAACCTTTTTGTGCTTCCTGTGATTATTTTATGCTTAAAGGATGAGTGCATTCTATCCGAAGTATGTGAAAAGTATTTGCATGAGTAACTACAGGAATATAAACGTTTGAGCTCAGATTTATAAGAATCTTTACGTTGGAAAAAACAAAAAAACATTTTCTTATTTGTAATCCTGTGAGAGAATAATTTTAGTCACAAGCCAGACTTTTGGCACTGTTACATTAATTAACTGCATATTAATAGAATAAGAAGGCAGCTAGTCACTGTTAATAGAATCGTGACGTATATTCTTAATATTTTATTAGGAGACACTCATTTTGTGAATTACATTGCCCTTGTCGTTTACTCCGTACTTTCGTCCAACATTTCCTCATAATCTAAAACCTGCTTACTACTTATGGGCGTAATGTGGCTTATCCAGTAGAGGTATTTCATAAATGTAACCATGACTGAAGAAATCGTAGTTTCTCTTGGTTAAAACAGTGAAAAAGTGGTTCCCTTAAAACCATTAAGATAGTGGATACAGAAGATGGGATCAAAGAGAAGTCAATCAGTATCAGACAATATTATAAAATTTTTTTTTGTATACGGTGCATGTGTTTATGAGCTTTGAAAACTATTTTATGCCTTCTTCGAGGTAACTTAACAGGGTTCTTTAACGTTACTTTTCTAAGAAGTAAACTTATTATTAATAAATCTGAATCTATTTTACAGTTCTTTAATTTATTTCAGCTTGTTTTGGTTTCCTTCCAGTAACTTTCTTTCTAATAGTACTTGGGTTTCTCTCTGTCTTTTTTTCCAATTTCACTGAGCTCGAATCCCTTCCTCGTCAAAGCTTGACTTTGATTTTAAAAGTAATGGGTAATGCTTGACGAAGTAACTTTTCATATTTTGAAATTAAAAATCGAAATGTATGATATTTAAAGTTTAGCTCAACACAATACAGGTTTAGCTTTCCAGTCTCATCTTAAATTTAAACATAGTTACCAATGGGATGCCTTTTTTTCTAATGCATAGAAATATTTATTGCAAATCTTTCTTAGGAGTAGACAAATATAACATGAGGCAGTAATGGTTTCATTTGACTTAATTTTGCACCTGCTTTTATCAGTGTAATAAATAAGGATTATCTGTCTTAGGCTTTCAACTCTGAATTGTAAAATCGTGGCTTTGGAAACCGACCTTCTAGTGTAGACGACATCCACAGGTAAAGTGCTATTTTGTGAAATATTTCACACACAAAATTGTGAAACAATGGCTTATTGTAGATACTGTAATACGTGATAAAATTGCCCAAAGTTAAGAAAATAACAAAGAGTTTGGTATACATCACAGATATAGGAGAATAAAAGGAATGAATACGGAGGTGTTACGTTATATATTAGCTCTTCTGCTCTCATCAAAACCACTAAATAAATTGAATGTTATTTTGAGTGATTAGGATTTCTTCTGAGTATTTACGTTATCATTTTAGAATAATAACCCTGTTTAGGTAGACATAAGTTGTTATAAACACAATGTTAATAGTATTATCTGATGTTCTTACAGTACTGTTTACTCGAAAGTTAACATTTTGTCTTGATGGAAAAGAAACAGATATAACAAAGACTGTAGAATAAATCATAAGAGCCACGATACATAAACAAAATGTTAGAAAATGACTCCTTTATTGTCATCAGTTAATCACTGTCAAACCTAGTTTAAGAAACATAGTTTTATTTATAAAGATGTATAACTTCCTTCATGACGGAACATCATTTCTTACCTCCCTGAGACATTACTACAAATGTCATCAAGTGAAATCCAAGTAGAACATTTCTTTCAGCAACGCTGAAACAAGTTATTATATAGTAAAATTATGTATTAAGCAAAAACGTTTGATTTTTAAGATCGTAAATAGAAATTTAGATGTGTACATTTTACCATAAACATGTAAACATTGCTTATTATTTATATATTTTAATACCATAGCAATATCTGAAGTGTACGTACATAATATATAATGATACCTTCTTATTATGTAAAACAGGATAAATTTGACTTTGCTATTTTTTTCTTGATTAACGCTTCCATATGACTATTCCGCCCCCCAGTGGCACAGCAACATGTCTGTGGACTTACAACGCTAGAAACCGGGTTTCAACACCTGTGGGGGGCAGAGCACAGATAACCCATTGTGTAGTTTTGTGTTTAAACTACAAGCACACACAAAGAAAAACTGTTCATCCCTATGATAGAAATTGTTATAAACAGTTATAACATGCACATATTTAGGGCAAAAATAATTAATTGGCTAGAATTTTTTTTTTGTATTTTCTAATTTCTGAAAGATTAGAATATGTAGGGTCTATAAAAAAATGTGGATCTTATACTACTAAGAGTAATTAAGAGTTATTGAAATTACAAAACTTCACCAAAATGAATTTAGGAAAATTACTTGTTTGTTTTATAGTAAAGCCACATTGGGTTAGCTGTTGTGTCCACTGCATGGAATCGAACTAAAAATAATTAAGTTCGCTGTAGCTGTAAGTACCGAACTACAAAACATAGTAAGCAAACAAATAAAATCAAAGCGATACCTTAGGTTCATGTTAATTCCAAAAGATCTGTTAACAATAATCTGATACGTGCTAATGTTTTGCATTCTTATTTGTATAATTTCAAAAACACCTTAACTTAAAAATATATGTATATTGTTAATTGTTACAAAACTCGTTTGCGGTTTGTTATGATACTCATAGTGTATTTTCAAGGAAATAAATGAATTCTATAATTTATTATATTGATATAAAAACATAATTTCCAGGATATATGAAGAAAAGATGTATCTATGACTCAAAGAACGTTTCTTAACACATATCTTCATCTTTACCAACAACCATATCGAACTCCTCCGTATCCTAAATCAATAAATCCGTTTCTGTATCCTCGGTCCAAGTACTTGCTGGCGTAGCCAAATACCCCACCATTTCTATAGTTGTCCTGCCCATTGTTCCTAAAACCCCTATAATCGTTGTGTCTACTGTTTACATATCTATATCCACCTCCAAGACCACCGTATATTCTGTTTCCGCAGTCATTAGGGAGACTGTATCTACTGTCTCTATATTTATATCCACCACCGAGACCACCATATTTACCATTTTCATAGAGACTATAACCACCGTACCTATCACCTTTATATCCATACCCACCGCCGAAACCACCATATCCAATATTTCCGTAACTGCTATGGCCATTATATTTATCGTTGAAACCGCTGTATCCGTTGCTTCCGTAACCATCATTATAATTCCTCCCGCCAGCATGACGATCGTAGCTATGAAATCTTGGACCTAGTCCACCATATATATCTCGATTATAATCCCATGGGCCACTAAATCTTCGGACTCCATAACAGTCATTCTCATTGTATCCACCTCCTCCATAACAACCATATCCATTGTATCCACTACGTCCATATCCACATCTACCGTAACCTTGATAACTAGCGGCACCATATTCATTTCTTCTAATACCGTCATTATAGCCACTATATTTTCTACTTACGTAACCATGATCATTGACTCCATCACCTGTGAAGCCGCCATATCCACTTACTCTGTAACTTCTGTAATCAGATTCACTTGAAGAAGTTCCTAGGTTTTTGACATTTATATTCTCGGTCTTACGTCTTTCCTCAGCATGGACGAAACCAATAATGGAGCATAAGCAACCCAATATGAAAGGAATGTCCTGAAAAATTATGGATAATTAGCATATCATGAAGTGTTATAATTTGCTGCTAAAATATTTTCAGTTTTAAGAATAGCACTTGACATAGAAAACATACAAGTCTACGAAGTTGACGTTATAAACTTTTTTGTTGTATGTATTGGGAGAGTTTACACTCTAGATGTAGTATATATTATATATATATATAAAACCATAAAGTTCAACTCCTGGAACTTGTTAGTTAAGAAGATCACATGTAGGTAAAACAAATCAATATTTGATCTTGAATTTAAGAGTGATTAAAATCTGTAGTTGCTTTTACGATATTTTTAAGTTTTTATATACAATCCATAATTAGGAGTTAACTTTTACTTTATCTAAGTACGCATGCCAAATATCCATGTAGAAATTAAAATGAAACATCAGACTTACCATCTTTATGTTGAACTTTGTATTCTTATTACGCTTGATGATTTCTGATTTAAGATTCAGCCTTCATTGTTATATAGACAACATACCGGAAGGTACGGTCACTAAAAGGTGTAAGTAGCGCCGCCACTTCTCGCTAAAAATCATTGCAAACATGACTTCATAAAAATAATGAATAATGAGATTCACCAGCCTATCCTGGGCATGTCTTCACTGCAAAACACTTGCTCCCACACGCTAAGTCTCTCAACCATGCTCTCTTTTTCCGAAATTACTTTTTGTTTCCAGCTTTCTTGTTCGCTACAAGAACGCCCTGTCTTATCTTTTTCATTTTATTAATTAAGTAAGGTAATATACATCACATGGGAAAATAACGAAGAAGCTTTGAGAGATGATTCACAAATTATATATAACGCAGTTTTTCCCTAAACTTTGTTATATGGAAATGTTCTTGATACATTGATTTAAAATTTTTTATGGAAGTACTCCTTGTTTTAGAATTTTCGCGCAAGGTTACACAAGGACTATCTCAACGTATTTGTTCCTAATTTTAAGCTGATAGTTTAAAGGGAAGGTAGCCAGTCAACAGCACTCATCGCCAACTCTCGGGTTACTCTTGTCTAACTAAATTGTGGGATTTGAATGTTACTTTTATAACACACACACATAGCCCCAAAGTGCGGAGATCAATTTTTCATCAAGTGGATGTGAACTTTGAACCCTCGGATCTACAGTTTGACACGTTAACTACTAGGCCAAGTCCGTCCCTGAAACAATATTACGTTTCACCTTACGCTTATATACAGAGATGTTCTTCTATTAGGGTCAGTGGTTGTGTTGTTTATACTAAATCATAGATTGTATTTTATATACATCGATAATCAGCTAAATGCTCCAGAAGTTATTGTTAATCATGTAATGCTGATTGAATACAAGAAGGGAAACAACGTCTCTGTAGCCACAAAGAATATCAAAAAAGTTTATGGAAATGTTTTGAACGTTTGTAAGTGTCAACGATAGTTCAGCACATTTCGTTCATGTGACTTTAGCCTTAAAAACTGTGTTGGCAGGGGGCCAGCTTGTTGGAAATGATATTGATGCCCTGAAGACACACTCGTGAAATGACCCTGAAATTGCATGTCTCTTATGAAAAAATACGTAAACATCTAAGGAATATGGGAAAACTCCATAAAGAAGGTGTTTGGATGCCTCACAAACTCTCCGATGATAATCGTTTCCAAC